TTTATTGATTCACACGATCCAAGAGAGAGTCTTCCGGATCTCAGACCCGACCCGACCAATACTCTCCCCGAGCTTAACCGGACAGTTGTTCCGTACGGCAGTGAGCTCATACGGCGACGTATCGGTCGCAAGCCATTGCTCAACTTCAAAGCTTTGTTGCGCGCACTTAGCGTGAACTCCGACCGTCGCAACCTCCACGTAGTTAACATACCAGCCGTGGTGGTCGCCGGAGCCGTCGGATGTTAGATTCAATGAACAGATTGGGCTCGGAAGACACGGCGCTTTCCCACTGAAAATGTCGAGATTGCCCCTCTCGTAGTAGTTGTAGCCTGGTCCCATTAAACCACCCCATGCCTCTAGGTTTCGGATCCCAATGTAGTCTCCGTATTTGTCGTAGAGTCGAGCGCTTATGATCGAATCGGTACCGGATTTGAAGGTTGATCCGGTTCGAAGGTAGAATGTGTAGACGCAATCTGCTTCATCGTCCTAAAAAAATCAAGAAACATATTTTTAACGATAAAAGATCAAGATTTGCATACTACTGGTTTGTATTAGTGTCGTTGTTGTTATGATGAGATTTGGAACTTACTGCGAATGCGACTGAAGACACTGTGGCGATGAGGAGGAAGGAGAGGAGGAGAACGTCACGGCGAGTCATCATTGGTGATATGAATGTAAAGAAATGGTGATCTGATCTGACCAACTATTAATATATTTGATGCAAATGTTTTGAGTTTGAGACATGAGATTTGATGGGTAATTATCATCTGCTTTTCGGAGCAGCGTGTGAAGTTGACGTGGCAAGCTTTGATAGGTTGTGATGGAAGAAGAGTATTTAAAGATCCTACAAGCACGTCGTTAACTCGGCGGACAGGTCGGCATGAGGTGTCAGATTACGAATTCAAGGATTTAGTAGTTTTGCATATGTATATTGTTAAGAACCATTAGGGTTCTTAACAAATTTTAGTTACTACATTTAACATTAAAATAAGTTAAGAATCTTATATTAATTATGCAACTTTTTCCCCTTCCATTGATTATAACCTCTTAGGAGTTTTTAAGAATTTTAAATAAATATTTTTCTAAATCCAAATTACCCAAAAAGATTAAAAAAAAAAACTAAAACCAAATGTGAATTTTCTTTAAAATTGTGTATGAAACAACATATTTGAACCTTTTTGAATCCTTTTTGCAATTCTTCCTTGTCCCCCGTAAGTTGCAAGCTGCATATTTGCAAAACATCTTCTCGATAAGCTTTTCATGAAATATCTAAGCTATTATTATGTCAAAATCGCAAATTACAGAGTGCTTCGACTCTTGTTCATGCTATGTGTTTAGCTTAATAAGCATGGTTAGGAGATGAGGAAAGTATCATTATCACCCAATTCCTCTGGGAATATTGTAGAGTTAAAGCTAAGTAAAGAGCGGTGTAAATTCAAGAAAAATTCACCTTCAAAGAAGATTTCTCTGGACCACATAACGCTTTGGCAACCTCTGGTGGCATTAGCTCTGATATTCCTTGAGCTTGTAGAGCTGTTACTTGTTCTTTGAACACTGTATTTTTAATCAACAAGAAAATCTTCTACTTGGCATCAAGTAAAACTATGATCACTCAATGGAAAATGAGAATCATAACTCTAGGCATAACCATTGGAGGAAAAGAACAACCATGTTACTTGCAAATAGACAACGTGTCATTTCAGTTGAGTGAGAGATTATATTACCTTGCGTCTAGCAAAACGTGGAGGCGGAATACGAACCCTACGGTTGGTGCGGGATTGGACTCTAAGAACATGAGAATGAATAGCACACGAGACACAATATTGCATCTTCGCATATAGCTTTGGTAGTGTGTACCCTACGAATCCATATGAAATACCAATTCAATGCAATTGCACATCATAACAATAGTACAACAATCCAGAGTGAAACTGACCAAAATCTAGACTTTTCAATGTATGTATAACATTACAAAGGAAACAAACAGAGAAAGAATCAAAAGTACCATCGTAGACACTGGCTTCCTGAACATCTCTAATCGCAGTCTGCTCCACAATGTTCCTTACAATAAACCTCTTAATCGCCTTATCCTATCCAACAAAAAATGGGCCAAAATCAAATCAAATTCTATAGACTGCATGTTGTCGAATTAAAACCCAATTGAGAGGAAAAAGAGAAAACATTTGCCACAGTTGAAGCATCTGATTGGATTGACATGGTCACGGTTGTGCTTGTTCCTCCCTCCGTTCCTACGTTTGAAAGTCTGCAACACAACAAACACCATCAATCGTTCAATTTCTTTTGAAAATCTCTTTAAAAGCAAAAGAAGAGAGATCGAAGAAGACGAATACCATCTTGCTTTTCCTTCTCATCGATTCTCTCCTCCGATTTCGCTTCACAGAGAGAGAGACGCCGAAAAAGAAGGAAAAAAAATTTGTTTTTGCCTCTAATATTTTTTATTTTTTATTTTTAAACGCGAACCAATCACAGCCTACCACGGAAGGGTTCTGATGGATTCTAAAAATGCTTAAATGAGAACCGGTTATGGGCTAATTTTACAGTTTTTATCTATTTTTTTGGCTTTTGATGTTCTAAACCTTCTCATTTTGTTCATGTTCAGGAGGTCATGCTGAAGTCTTCATGTTCTGTGATGATATAAGGAGAATGCAACCTTCTCATTTTGATTACCACTTTGCTTGGGTCCCAAGAGAAGCTATCCAAAATGTAGATGCTTTGGCAAAATCAGCTAGACTATCAAACTCCAATTATGTAATATCTTCGTTGTCTTGAATATTTCAGTTGTAGTTTTGTAAACGTTTTAAGTTTTAATGAATTAGTTTGCCGAC